CATTGGGGAAACTTCAGCCACTGCTAAGGGGGTGGGAGAGATCAATGTATTTTAGGCAGCATGGCTGATTTCCTTAATAAATAAAAGTAGAATTTTAATTATATGTATTAGTTACTGTAGCCGAAGATGCCTAGAGAAGCAAGTAGTAATTGTATTCATCTATACCAAAACTAAATACAGGAGGCGGGTAGAGAAAGGCAAGAATACTGATGACCCAACAATCTTCAAAACCAAATATAGCAGGTGCTCAAGCCCTTGGCAGACATTGCTGTTAATTCCACACTCTGTCTCACAACACATACAGTGCTCCTGGGTAGCCACCACCATGGATTAGAGTTAGCACACTAGCAAAACCTATGTACTGTTCCTGTTCTACATTCTCTAAATGGCTAGGTGAAGCTTACTTTTCTTTTTGTTTCATGGATTTTTTAAGTTGCTGTTTATTCTGCCTATCGTCTTTTTCAGTTGATATAATTCCCTGTTCTCAATGTGATCTGTATATATTCTTACCAATTTTCTAGTCTGATACTTCTCAAACTTTAACCTGTATGCACATTGCCTGAGGACCTTGTTAAAATGGAGATTCTGATTCACTCAGGCTGGGTGACCCTAAGATTCTGCATTTCCAACAAGGTCCCAGGTGATGTGATGCTATAGGTCCAGCATCACACTGGAAGTAGGATTAGCTACTCCTCCTTAAGTAATCTGAGAATGAATCACCATTACTTGGGAGAAAATAAATAATCAAGGACAAAAGGAAAACACTTACCCAGAACCCACACTCCGAACCCTAATAGCTAACTACATAGTTTCTGAAATTGGCTTCACCGGTAGATTTTTGACTTTGCCAAGACCTGCATTAGGAACCTATTAACCTTCAATAACCAGCCTCCTAAGACTCTCTTAAATCACATTTCAAGCATGATGTTATTTACTTTGTTTTAAAATTTATCTTTATTGTTGAAGGTATTACAGATGTCGCACTCACCCACCCCCAGCCCTACTGCACTATTTTGTGTGTCTATGGTTATGCACATATGCATGTAGGTTCTTCAGTTAATCTCTAACCACCTATCCACCCCCCTTCACTCTGAAATTGGTCAGTCTGTTACATGCTTCCATGTCTCTGAGTCTATTTTGTTCTCAGTTTATTTTGTTCATTAGATTCCACATATAAGTGAGATCATGTGATACTTGTCTTTCTCTGACTGGCTTATTTTGCTTAGCATAATACTCTCCAGGTCCCTCCATGCTGTCTCAAAGGGTAAGATATCATTTTTATGGCTGTATAGTATTCCACTGTGAAAATAAATATATCTCAGCTTTTAATTGCAGTCCTATTCCTGATCTGGAATATCCCTGAATGCCAGCTCTGCTTTACCATGTTTAAGGGTGATACAAACTCATTTTAAAATACTTTTTTCAAAAGAATTGAAAAATACCAATAACACCAGCAAACAAAATGCACAACAGAAAACTATTTTTAATATTATTACAGCAATTATATTCAAAATCTACATTATAGTCAGGAAAGGTATGCTTTCTACATATTTTCACTCACACCCTGTAAATGCATGACCAAAAAAATGGATTTACACTCTAGAAACTACACAGTCTTTGATGTCCTAAATTTAAACTATTTACTTTCTTTTTCTAAATTTCATTGATCTTGAATTTAAAATTCCTAGAGCTAAATATAGAAAGAAAAAAAAAAAGCTATAGCCAGTCTTTTCCAGGGAAATCCCCTTTTAATATTAATTCTTAAATCATTCAAGGTTATCTACAATTTAATTTTTTAAAGTTTAAAAAAAAAAAACTGTCTCCTTCAGTTGCTATTTCACCTTTACTTCAAACAAAGATCATTTCCTTTTATTTTGAAACTCATACTTTTCTTGGGGCCTTTTAGTAATGAAGAAGAAGAAAAGGAGAGTGCTTTTGCTCCTTTCTATCCTTTTTTGAAAAGAATGTTATCAACAATGCCTGGGAAATTCAGAGCTTCTGTATTTACCACCAAAGAGTCTCATAAATAAATTCAATAAAGCAAAAAGCTTAAACCACCACAGAAAACTCAGGTGGAATGAGTCATGACCTAGATCACAGGGGAAAACCGTAATCAACAAAACATTTAAAACTGAAAAGGATTCTTTTATTTTCTTAATAAACCAGGCTGGAAAGAAGTGTTTACACATGGATTCAAAAGAGAATATCTGCTTTGCACAGAATTTAAGAGTTAAAAGGGCCTCGGAAATCATTTATACTAGTCTTCTCATTGTGCTCATTGAAATTGACGCCCAAAGAAAGTTAATGGAGACAAATAATGAATTCACCAAGATAATAAAAAAACATCTAGAAGACATTTAAGTTCAATTTTAGATAAGAAAACAATCAAGCATGTCCCTGACCTAAATAAGGGCCAGGTTTGATAGAATAAAATACAAAATGAAAATAAAAAGCAATTGCTTACTATAAAAAGAAAACATCTTGCTCTAGCAAGAAAAACTCTCCTCCAGTCTTCTTGCCTAAACGCTAAAAAATAAAAATAAAAATCCTAGTATAACCCTGGCTAGCTTGGCTCATTGATAGAACATCAGCCTTTGGACTGAAGGGCCCCAGGTTCAATTCCGGTCAAGGGCACATGCCTGGGTTGCAGGCTCCATCCCCAGTAGTGGGTGTGCAGGAAGCAGCCAATCAATGATTCTCTCTCATCTGTGATGTTTCCATCTCTCTCTCCTTCTCCCTTCCACTCTGAAATCAATAAATATATATTTTTTTAAATCCTAGTATATCAAATCTAGTACTCCTCTCTACCCTTTCTGATACAAACTCCCATTATTCTGCAGGGCTCTAACCATTCTCAATTTTATTTCCTGAATTAGGTGCATATTTGGGATCCTCAATCATGCTACAGGGTTTGTAAGAGCAGAGGCTGTCATCATCTTTTCTATAACTCCAGAATATATCTAGTTTGTTTTGTATACACACAGAGACTTAGCAGATGCCTAGTGAATTAATATATAGCAATATAATCAACTTTTCTATATTATACCTCTTTAGTTTTATTTTCAGTAAAAGCTATGCTTGCCCTAGCTGGTTTGGCTCAATGGATAGAGCATCGGCCTGCAGACTGAAGGGTCCCAGGTTTGATTTCAGCCAAGGGCACTTGCCTGGGTTACGGACTTGATCCCCAGTAGGGGGCGTGCAGGAGGCAGCCATCAATGATTCTCATCATTGATGTTTCTATCCTTCTTTCCCTCTCCCTTCCTCTCTGAAATATATATGTATGTGTGTGTGTGTGTGTGTGTGTGTGTGTGTGTGTGTGTGTGTGTGTATATATATATATATATATATATATATATATATATATATATTTTTTTTTTTTTTTTTTTTTTTTTAAGCTATGCTTGAAGGGACATACTGACTGATATGCTTCATGGATCCTTCCTCCAAGTCAAAAGCTATACAATTAGCTTTATGTTTACTTTCTTAATAAATTACTGCTCACAAAAGTGATTATGAGCAACTATAACAGGGGATCCACAAATAGGGAGTTTGAATAAGTATAGTTAGATTATTCAAAATTACTGTTAATGAAAAGAACTGATAATTTTGACTCCCCAAAACTTTTAGAATATTTATATACAAGGTGATTTAATAAAATAAGTAAGGTGATATGAACCTAACCTATTTAATACTTTTATCAATGTCCCCAAAAACAAAATTAAGAATGTACATATTAGGACTGCTCACCTGGAACGTTGCCAACCCCACTGACAGTAAGAATTGAATTTAAAGTAATCTTTAAATAAATATATCATTTTAAAAAGATACAATTCAACAGTGAAGAGTTATAAAGCAGTATACAAGGAGAGATGAAAAATAAGGCTAAGACTCATTAATCTAGTCTTATAAGTTTGGCTTATAGGCTAGTCTCTTGGACACTTGATTTGTGTGAGTGTGTGTGTGTGTGTGTGTGTGTGTGTGTGTTTGGGTTTTTTTTTTTGAGTGATTTTTCTCAAACTCCTTTAATCCTAACAAGAATTCAGCAAGGAATTACTCTGATCCTCATTATTTATATGTAGCAACTGAAGCTATGAGGTAGTTAAATAGCTTGTCCAATCTTCACGGCTTCAAATGGAGAGCTGAGATCTGAACAAGCCAGCCTGCCTCTTAGATCAATTGAGAAAATAAATACTTTCTCCCATCTCAGATGATCCTTAAATTGCTTTTTTTTTTAAGTTGGTTTAATATAAAAAAAAGAAATTAACTATTTTCTCCCGAAATGTGCCAAAACAGATAGATAGGATATAAAAACAATAATATTAAACCACAATATTTCTAACGTTTCAAGCATTTACCTGCTCTTGAGACAAGACAAAAGGTAGGCCTAAATAATCTAAACATCACTGTTAGAATTATATCTTTACAATTCTAGGTGACCAATAGCAGCTATTTATATGACTTATGCTTAAATGGTTAGCTTTAGCATATATCAATAAAAAGTTTAAAGGAATTGTAGGAGGATCATAATAGAACTTTAAAAAATTCAAATAAGCCAAAACTGGTTTGGCTCAATGGATAGAGCGTCGGCTTGGGGACTGAAGGGACCCGGGTTCAATTCCAGTCAAGGGCATATCCTCAGTAGGGGGTGTGCAAGAGGCAGCTGATCAATGTCTCTCTTATCGATGTTTCTAGCTCTCTATCTCTCTCCCTTCCTCTCTGTACAAAATCAATAAAATATGTTTTTTTTAAATTCAAATAAAATTCAGTATAAATTAGATTATTAGGAGTAGAGTAAGAAAAAAGGACCAAGAAAGAAGGAGAAAGCAAGACCCATTTTATTTTATTTTTGGTGGTTCTTTAATGCTTTTCTTTCACCAATAACTTAAAATTATTGATAAAATTCCAGAGACCAAAATTCTCAAACACTCTAAATAGAAATAAAGTGAGAGACAAGACAGCAAAAATGGCTAAAAGGAATGCAAATGAAACATAAGACATACCTGAGACACTTCATCAAATTGAGGTTTTCTATGAAGGCTAGAGAGACTCTCTGCTCGCATGAGATACTCTGCTGTTCTTCTCTTCACAGCTTCTCGCCGGGTAGGGCTTGACTCTCCTACAAAGAGAAAACAAAACTCAGGTCAGGGGAAAAATAAATAAGCTCTTCTTTATCCAATCTGAAAATAAACTTCCAGTTATCCAATGCACCACTTATTCACATTTCTAACTGAAAAGAAGAGAGATTCAAAACTGGAATGGACATCAAAGTTATTAATATCAGCAAGGTCTAAATGTTTTTTATTTTTTAATTACAATTGGCATTCAATATTATTTTACATTCATTTCAGGTCTATAGCATAGTGGTTAAATATATATACAGTTAGGAAGTGATCGTCTAATAAGTCTAGTAACCACATGACACCATATATATTTATTACATTATTGGCTATATTCTCTATGCTATACTTTATATTCGTGAGCAAGGTCTAAATATTACCTACATGAATTTTATTTATCCAAATTCTGAAATTCTCCTATTGAAATATGTATATAGAGAGTTCAATGTATTTTATAATAGTAGATATGAGAAATGTAGTATAAAAAAAGCTCTGCAGATAAAAGACTACCCTTATCTAGACAGTTGTCTAACTCAACAAATAGTACTAAGGGCCATAGCCTATCTAATAAAAGAGTAATATTCAAATTGACCATCACTCCAACACACAAGATGGCTGCCCCCATGTGATCAAAGACGGCTGCCCCATGTGGACATAAGATGGCTGCCACAGGATGGCCAGCAGGGGAGGGCACTTGGGAGGGACCAGGCCTGCAAGGGAAGGCAGTTGGGGGCAATTAAGCCTGCAGGGGAGGGCAGTTAGGGGTGACCAGGCCAGCAGAGGGAAGTTGAAGGCAACTGGGCCTGCAGGGAAGGGCATTTAGGGGGAACCCAGGTCTGCAGGAGAGAGCAGTTGGGGGAACCAGGCCTGCAGGAGAAGGTAGTTAGTGGTGACCAAGTCTGCAGGGGAGGGCAGTTAGGGGCAAACAGGCTGTCAGGGGAGCAGTTAGGCATCAATCAGGTTGGCAGAGGAGTGGTTAGGGGGTGATCAAGCTGGCAGGCAGCAGTTAGGGCCAATCAGGAAGGCAGGCAGGTGAGCAGTTGGGAGCCAGCAATCCTGGATTGTGAAAGGGATGTCTGACTGCCAGTTTAAGCCCAATCCTGGATGGGTCCCAGATTGGAGAGGGTACAGGCTGGGCTGAGGGACACACACACACACACACACACACACACACACACCCTGTGCACGAATTTAGTGCACTGGGCCTCTAGTATGTTTAACAAGAGCTATGAGATGGATATGACATGCTGTAAAAGTACCACCAAACTGAAGAATACAATTATTTAGGGTAACTCTGAATTCACTCTAATTGATTTTTATAAGCTTCATGGCTTTTTCATTAACAACAAATTGTCACTCACCTTACAAATGAAAACAAGAAAACAAGAATATGATTTAAATCCCTGTAATATATAATTATCTGAAAGTGACAAGTCATTTATTTACCCTGACTGGCTCTCTGTTCCCCTAAACAAAAGGTTTTTAAAGTGGCCTCCAAGAAGTTAAGACCTCAAAAGAGAGGTGGTCCAGCCCATGGAGCACCCAGCTCTCCCTTTTCCAGAGCAGGATGGTCCTGTGCTTTTGTTCATTTTATGTGATACTTGACTGTGAACATTTCAAAGCTGAAAGTAAAAAACTTTAAGAACCACTGTACTATTTATGATCTCTAAGGTTCCTTTCCTAAATAATATTTCATACTTTTCATGACTCATTTTTATCAAAGCACTTAACACATAGCACTGTTTTTATAACTGACCATATACATCATCTGAATGAAGTCAGTAAAAAAGCAAGTTGTCATATAGTGGGAAGTGTCCTGGATTGCATTCCAGAAACCCTGGTTATCTGAATTTTGGCTCTGCCTCTCACCAGTCATGTGACCAATGATAAGGCATCTCAGTCTTTGAATGTCTTCTCATTCCCTAAAATGGAAATATAGGTCTCAAACGGTTATGGAGATGAAAGGAAGACAACACACCTAAATGCATTACAACAGTGACAAAACTATAGGAAGCACTACATTTTAAAGGTTTACATTTCTCATTTTTCTCTCAGAATTAAATCCTTCAAAATGTTAACTGCTTTGCTGAATTAAAGTGAACTGAATTACTAAAGTAAGGCAAACATTTTCCCAAAAAAGATCCCTAGTGGCAAAAACTCTTCTTATTTTTGCCTGGAACAGTATCTCCTGTTACTTCTGGGAAACGCCTCTTTCTCCTCCCCTTGACACTGCTTCACCTCTCCTCTCCCCACCTCCCCACCTACCAACAATTGCTCTGAATGAAAGCTGCTATCTTATTTCAGTCCCTCTAGTCAGTACTAGTTAGCCAAGGGTTGAAAGCTGAGCCAATCACAGAACCCCACCCTCTTGGCCACAGCTGGAGAGAGGAACTGGCCCAACACAAACTGGGCCAATCAGGCCTTCTCTGTTATTGACACTGGAAATAAGAGTGGGGACTGCCAGCAGCCATAGTTTCTGCCATTGCACAAAGCCAATCTGAAAGGAACTGGACAGAAAGAAGCAGATAGGAGAGAAAGAAAGAAAAATCCTAGCGTGACTGGGGTCCCTGATTTCAGCTGAATCCACATTCCCGCCATTTTTTGCATAAGGTAGTACAAATGTAGATTTTTATCATATGCAAACCAAAGAACCCTGAATGAACACAGAACTGCAATAAGCTTATTGTAATTTTGCTAAATAACTTTCCTTTCACAGCTTTTACATTACTATTCCATCTCTTCTCTCCTTCGTGAGAAATTTACAAATGTAAACTGGTCTTGGTGAGGGGAAAAATTCTCTACTGCTTTTTAACTGCGGAGCAATCTATTAACAATCTATTTTAAACCTTTGGTGTCTCTGCTGCTTTCTAGGCACACTTCAGCTCCTGAAGCCTCGGTTAAAATAATCAGTATACTCCTTGCCTCTGTCCTAAAAATGTACTTAATTTCTAAACCCAAGGTTTGTATTTTTCTCAGTTGAAAAATGGACATAATCTATGAAAATCACCTAAGTGTAATATATTTTGAGGATAAACTGTGCCACATAAATAAGAAACATTCCATATTTCTACACACTACCAGCCCTTGATTTTGAGTTTGCTGTTTATGGACTCTGTTATTTGCATTTTCATTGGCTCTTCTCATTTCAGCTTATATCTTTTAAGCCCTAATTTAAATCCCCATTTTAGAATTTTTTATTCCTCAAATCTAATAGAAACTGTGCCAATTTAGTGTTTTCATTCAGTGTAAATAAGCTTTAATAAAACTTCAAATTTTGCTTTATTCAAAGATATCAACTTGTCTCCCAAAATAATTTGAGTGAAAAATGCGAAGAAAATGGACCACCTAATTAAACCTAGAGTTAACACTATATTATGTGATCAAACCACTGTTTTTTAAACTTGCGGTATCTGCTGCTTTCTAGGCAGTCTCCATAGGAACAGAGTCAAGAACAGGAAGCCAGCAGTTGAAATGGACTCCTGCTGAGGATAGTGATTCCGCTTCCATGGAAACAACAATGAAGTGATGGAAAAACTGGAAGGCTTTTAAAACATAACCTTAAACATACATACTATGACACTTTCCTATCAGCATCTTAAAAGTAGGTCATAACCAAAAGCCCTGGTGGAGTAGCTCAGTTGGTGAGAGTATTGTCCCCATCCCTAAGGCTACAGGTTAGGTCCCCCAGTCAAGGCACATACAGGATTCAACCGATGAATGCATAAGTATGTGGAACGAGAAATCTATGTTTCTCCTTTCTCCCTTTCTCTACAATCAATAGTAAAAATTTAAAAAAGAAAAAGCAGGTCACAACCACTGCTGCAGCAGCAAGGATGACAACTACTTCTTACAGATTTCTGCTGCTGGATACTTCCTGAAGCTCGTGCGTACAAACCAGAAATAAAAGACCAAGATTTCTGGACAATTCTGATAGCATTATAGATAGATGTAACTTTAAACAGATTTTAATTGATTAAAAATGTTAATCGACTCTAACCTTAATTTCTTATTTTCGTTTTAAAAATAATACAGCTGATAAGGATTATTCTTCAGGAAAAACTAGGTTATCTGGAATTCAAATTTTAATTTCATTCTAGGTCATGTGACTGGTTTGGTTTTTTTTCAGTAATATATCCATAAATGCTTTTTTTTGTTGTTAATCCTCACCCCAGGGTATTTTTTCATTGATTTTTAGAGAGAGTGGAAGGGAGGAGGAGAGACGAAGAGAAAGAAATATCAATTTGAGAAAGACACATTGATTGGTTGCCTCCCACACTGGGGATCAAGCCTGCAATCAAGGTACTTGTTCTTGACTGGAACTGAACGTGGGACCCTCCAGTTCGCGCAGGCCAACACTCTATCCATCGAGCCAACCTGGCTGAGGCAATAAATGCTCTTAAAAATGGATATATATTTTACATTCTACCTAAAGATAAACCACTACCTTCAATAAGTTTCTCTGCATTTCTGTTATTCAGATACAGCCAAAATTTCCACTGGGTTTTGGCATTCAAAAGAGAATCTGCTCCCATTACATACTAACTTTTCTGTCAACAGGTTCTGGTGCAGCACAACATATGTCACCTGTAAACTGGGTCAGCCTGTATTTCTTTACTCTATACCTTATCAATTTCTGATCAGAAGAGAGGATTGATAGAGGGTGCTGAGTGTGCTGTGTGAAAGGAAGAGAATGTAGCCAAAACTAAACTGAGGATAACTACCACAGTTGACACTGAAATTTTTAGAAACACTGGGTTGCCTGTCCTGCATTTCTCAGAGTGCCAACTCTGACTTACACTACTAAGCGAAGTTTTACAGAAGACAAAGTCTATAGATAACAGAACCATGAAATGCTAACTTACCAAGAAGCCACCAAGATTTGGCACTCCTTCCCTATGTCAATTTTTTTATTTTCAAGAGATATATTATCTTCCTTTTATCACTAAAGAAACTAGGTTCAGGGATACAAAATGCCTTTCTCAGTTACAGAGTTAATATA